AAGAAGAAGAGGAAGAAGAAGAAGAAGAAGAAGAAGAAGAAGAAGAAGAAGAAGAAGAAAAGAACGAAGAGAAAGAAGAGGAAGAAGAAGAAGAAGAAGAAGAAGAAGAAGAAGAAGAAGAAGAAGAAGAAGAAAAGAATAAAAAAAATAAAAAAAGAAAATTGTCGTCGATTACTTATCGGCGCGGAGGTAGCAACGACGATGACGAGGACGACGGGCATGGCGATGGCGACGTGGCACGACGACGACGATTGCGACGGTGACGATGATGATGTGCCATGACGACGACAATTGCAATGGTGACGATGATGACGTGGCACGACCGTGATCACGACGATGACATGGCACTACGACGACGATCACGACGATGATGCTGATGATGGCCAGGTGGTGACGACGAAGCAGGGTGGGTCGGGCGGGTTCGAACCGCTCCGATACCAGTGTGACGAGCGCGGGGCTGAGGGAGAGGAGAGGGAGAGGAGAGAGAGAGGGAGAGAGTGAGAGCACACACACACACTCACTCACTCCACGACTGAGGGTCGGATGCAGACACAGTGGCAAGGGCACAAAGTCGAAGTCTTGGATTCCGAATGCCGAAAGCAGCAGAAAACTGGTAGCAGCAGAAAACTGGTACACGACTGGTCCCCATACTGTACGGGGAGCCGGTATAAGTATCGGTGGCACGTACGGTACCAGGGGCATTTCTGCAAAAGCCCCGAGTGCAGAACTGAAAAATGTGGTATTTGAAAGTGGCGCCCGAATTGCAGCATGGCGCCAGTTGTCCAAAATCCGACGGTACCAAAGGAGGGGTTTGGAAAAAAGGGTGCCAGGCCGAAAACGGGATGCAGCAGAAACAGCAAAAAGATAGACCATGGATCGAGCCCTGGCGGAGTCCGTAACAGGACCCCTTGGCTGCACCAATTTTCCTATTTATAATGGAGGCGGTGGCAGCCTTTCTTAGAAAGGACCCATCAATCCAACGACTTACAACGGAGCCAGATCAACAAGGACGTCTTATCCACCTACCTACAACCCTCCTCTTTGCGAACTGCCTCACAGTACTAATTAGGGCATCAGACTCATCCTTTCAAGCCCTGACACGGGCGATGGAGGCTTTCCAACAGGCATTGGAAATGAAGATCAACTGGCCGAAGACCGTAGGCTGGTGGTTGGCAGACCAGGAGGAAGAGGGTGAAAGCCCAGTCTCAAGCCCAGAAGGGCTCCAATCGGTGCCAGCATACGCCCCGTTGAGATATCTAGGTGTCAAGATAGCGGAAGGAGGACCACACCACTCGATGGCAGCCGATCTCATGTCCAAGATCCTAGCAAAGCTGGGGGCCTGGTCAGTGGTGTACATGTTCGTCTTCGGTAAGACCCTGATTCTGAACGCATCCATCTTCTCCATACTATGGTATGCAGGGACAATCTGGACCCCACCAGCGCAGACAACATCCTTATTGCGAAGAAGAGTGGCAGCATATCTTTGGACATCTACTGGAACCAAACCGCACTTCATCTCCAAAGTAGCGCGGAAGCACGTCACCCGAGCAAAAGAACAGGGAGGTCTGGGTATTCTGGATCTAGAACAACAGCTCAAGGCGCTCCAAACGAAATGGGTTGTTAAAATAATCTCCCACCAAAGGACGTCAGTGGCACTACATAGGATCAGACAAATGGCCAAATACAAGACACCTCCGAACATGTCAGGCCTGTTTTGGGTTATGTGTAGCACTTAGGCCAAGGTGGGCAGAAGAGAGGGCGACATAACTGACACAGAGGAGAGTCGTAGGGCGACATCTCACTGGGGTCAAATGCCGAAGTTGTGGAAGGAGATCTTCTCGACCAAGGTAAGAGCACCACATACGAGAGAAGAGACTCTCCGGCAACCGTTGTTCTGCAATTCGAGCATTAAGGATGCACAGGGGAAATCACTGACACTCGCTGCTAAGGACTCTAAGTGGGGGAAGTGGTTAGAGCATAGGGTATGTCAAGTCAAACACCTCTGGGTAGAGGGGGAAAAGCGGTGGAAGACAGCCAGGGAGCTTAGGGCAGAACTTAAGGGATGCCACAGACTATCGGAGAACTACAAAACCCTGTTAGCAGCCATACCACAAGGGTGGACGGGGCTACTGTGGAAGGGAACTCAGTGGGGCCTGGGAGACTGGGCCACATGGCAACAAGACAAGGAACCAAGTGAAGTTTTTAGAATCTCGGACCAGGAGCCTACAAGAAAGGAATGGCTAGAAGCGGACATGTACACCATTGCAAACCTGGGCAGCACCACTAGCCTACTGGATCGGGACTCTAAAACACCAATCACTATCCAAGGGCAGCACCTGCGTAAAGTGAGAGTGGTGGAGACGGAGGACTAAACAATATTCTGCCCGACTACACCGGTGGAAGAACTGGAGGTGGACCCGGGTGAATGGGCGTGGAACATTAGAGGTGGAAGAATGGGAGTGGCCAGAAGGGTGAACATACTGCATTACACCACTCAAATCGGTTACAGACTGCGAAGGAGATCTCGTTCCCCGACGGCACCACTATCAAAGCGCTGGGAGAACAGGGTAGGGGTGCCACCGAATCAACTTCCCAAAATGCCATGGACGGTGATCGACTCAATACGTCTGGGCAGGGTCAGAAGTATGCAGTGGCTAATAGCTCATGTGGCACTCCCGGTAAATGCATGGCTAAACGAGAGGAGTCAAGCCCAGAGGGATCCAGCTAACGCCTGGTGCACAGTATGCCAAGCGGGGACTCCGGAGACTATGTTGCACTGCCTGCTGGAATGCGCGGAGGCAAACACTATATGGGAGGAAGCCAAGACTACATGCAGCTGCTTCTCATGGGCTCCCTTTCCGGTGCTCAAGACCTCCCTACTGTTGGGCCTAGACCTCCCAAGCCAATGGCAGCCTTATGAGAAGTACATGTTTCAACTGCTAAGGCAATACAGCCTATGGACTATCTGGAAACGACGATGCCAAATCACTCTCGAAAAGCGGTCAATGCATAGGCAGGAGGCAAAGGAAATGCTCCTCACCCTAATCGAAACCGATCTGTGAGCGCAAGGGAAGAGGGTGGGGAGTCAATGCCAGGAACACCCGGAAAAGGCCGAGGAACATAGGACCCGCTTCATCCAGAACGTACTGTGGCAAGAGGCGGTAGCTAGTATCCAGAGAGGGAAACTGAGATTTAAATGGAGAACGGAAACACCGGGAGGCAGTCAATAGTTAAGGAGGCATAGGAAAGACTACAGTAAGGTCCAAGGGGGCAGGAAGAATGGTAAGCCCGGTGAGGGAAAAGGAAAGTCTGGAGAGTCAGGGAGGAAGCGAAGTCGAAAGGTAAAGAGGAAGACGGGCAGCAGCAGTAGGGTATAGGGTTTAAGGACAGGAGAGGAGGAAAGAGAGAAAGGGGGGAGACTTTGGATGGAGGTAAACAGGGGTAGGGCTAGGAGGCGGCAGAGGGGACTACTCCTTTGGAGGCAAGGATCTCTAGCTTATAGTTACCTTTCTGGGTTCAGAAGCGCAACTAAGGGGCATAGGGTTTAGGGTTTAAGAAGAGCGGATAGAAAGGAGGAGGTGGCGGAGGTACTTGGAAAGACGAGCAACAGCGATTGTTTTTTAGGCTTAAAATGAGGTTGAGTGGGAAGACAGTAGGCAGGTTCCTTCGTCCTTTCCTTTTTGTTCCTTTGGTATTCCAGTTTTAGACTTTGTTCAGAAATAGCATGAAGCTTCATAGGCGAAAGGGACGCTGGACCCGGTTTCCAGTAAGAGCCAAATCTGGGTAATAACCCCAGTCTTCTGGGTTGAGATGTGGAGGGATTCCCGGCCTCCTTTTGCTCCAAAAATAATAAAGCAGGCTATGTCTTTGAAAAAAAAAAAAAAGAAGTAAAATCTAAAATTTTATTTCAAATTAAAAAAAAAAGAGAACCTTCACAAACTAATTCGACAAAACTGGATCATCAAAAACCACCATGCAAACAGCCTTACTATTCTGCGCTCTTAGCCTCTCCGTCCATACCTCATAATGACCATTCTGAAGCGTCCGAACTGAGAGCGCATCATCCACATCCTTGCTTCCTGGCGGGTCAACACTGTTTATTTCCCGAAAACAAAAAAATGCACGACGGAGCGCAGAATGAGTCAAGTCACATTGGAGAAAACACATAGCGTTCCTGGCTGACGCACAGGCTTTACACAAGACAGACATGAAACAGGTGCCGTACCCATAAGAGAAAATTCAAAAAAAAAAAAAAAAAAAAAAAAACTCAGTTCTTACTTCATGTAGAAAATGCACATCATGCAAGGCTTTAATCTGGTGGAGGGCATAATGTGCGGCACAAGGTACAAGGATGAGAAGCCATCCCAGCATTGCCCTTCTGCCGAGTCCACTCAGGTGACGAGAACTCTCATCCCTATATACTGTTTCCTCAAACCACATCCCCTCAAGAATTTTCTGATCCCTCATCTATCTCCCCGATTGTCCATCTCAAAACCCTGATATCCACGTCGTAGATACACCTCCAACCCAGTTCACTTCGTCGCGTCGAGATCCGATCTTCCATGCCCGTTGTTGCTTCGTCGAGAAATTCTGCAGACGGTTGAGCTGTCACTCACTGTTAAAAGACCTCTGATATGTGCCGCTGCTAACATGACCCGCTGCTCAATCACTATACTACCCGAGCTGTTACTACTGAGAGCTCGTAGTTGTCCCAAGATTTGATGAAATTTAGTTCTGAAAAATGGCAGAGACGGTTAAGCTGTCGTTCGCTGTTAAATGGCCTCTGATAGTAGCCTGCATACCCCGTGTGTGCTACTTGCTAACCCGCTGCTGCTTCGTTAAAGTACCCTGTGGCCGTAAATGAAATTTTGTCGATGATATTTCATTCTGAACAGAGGGTATTTCAGGGTCGGATTCATACACAGAGTCCTCTGTACAGTCGATGAGAATCACAGGTCCTTTATTCCGCCTTCTGCATATGCGCTCTCCTTTCAACCGGATCTACACACTGCACAGCAGAGAGTAGCGTGGACCTTCAGAGGTCTTGCTAATCATGCTTACCTGACGGTCCCAGCCAGGCTGCGACTAAGAGGATCTCAAGAAGCAAAAAGGATATCTGACAGTCAATCCTCTGTGAAGGAATAACCGATGAAAGGAGTAATCCTCTGTCCAGAGGTCCTTACACCTCTCGAAGGAAGGAAACGTTAACGTGTCTTGCTATGTAATTGTTTTGTAAACTTGCCGATGGCTAGGAAGCAGACTGATGCTCCTCAGCATGGATATGGAGCCAGGACCATTAGAAAGCGGACTGATGCTCCCCAGAATGGATACGGAGCGTTGGAGCCAAAACCATAAGGAAGCGGACTGATCCTCCTCAGAATGGATATGGAGCCAGGACCATAAGGAAAGGGACTGATGCTCCCCAGACTGGATATGGAGCCAGGACCATAAGGAAGCGGACTGATGCTCCCCAGACTGGATATGGAGCCAGGACCATAAGGAAGCGGACTGATGCTCCCCAGAATGGATATGGAGGCAGGACCATAAGGACCTTCAAAAAAAGCAATCAGCATGAGAAAGAGGAACAGGTCATAGGCAGGCTGATTTTCTGTGGAAGGGAGGATCATACCCCCAAATGGATCCAGAAAAGCACAGAGCAGGCTTTACATCATAGAAAATAACATAAGATGCCCTGCTGAATCACAGGTTTTTGCAAAATGGTACCGTATGCAACATGTGATGTACCCATAGGGCAGAAGAAAATCAGAAATAGTTTGAAAATCGCCATGAGAAACAGAAAAAGGCTGTAGGCAGACCAACTCTTCTGCAACAGGTGCTTTTAACTTTTAAGTTTTAAGTAGTTACTAGTTATCCAGATACAGATATATCTGAACTTCCCAAGTCATTGAAAGTAATCACTTAGACAATGGGGAATGGGGCTTCCTAATTCCAGACTTCCAGAGCAATTTGCCAATCACCCAAATACTGTTGAAACTTGAAATTTGAAATACGTCCGACAGACTGACAGTAATTACTTCAACAAGTGGGCTGCCATGGCGACTGCCCTTACCCCCTCCCAACCCCTATCCACACCCCCCACAACACCCACACCCCCGAGACCTCCCAAACCACCCACACCCCCCACAGTGCCCACACCCCCCACCCCAGACTGACTCCCTTGGCAAGGGTAGAAGTCATCCAACTGCTTATCGAAGACCTTGTGGGGAGTTTTACTTCAAACCTCAATGTGAAACTCCCAAATGCATCGCTTTCAAGGGTTTGTTATCTCATTTTGACACAATGAAGTTTCACAGGCTCTGCAGGGAGATTCGAAAGGAACTTCAGACACGTCGAATTTTAGCTGTAATGAAACGAACACAGGTCGTCAGCATTGGCTTTTACTGACCATACACTTCCCAGAAAAGGCACCTTCCCTCTCTTCTTGTTTACCATTCTCTCACCTCAAAGGGGTTGATCGCTTGGTGCACAATATGTGTACCTGAAAGGCCGATGCTCAGTTCTAAGGTCTCTCCTTGTCATACACTCTGCCACTGGGATCTTCCATGGGCATTCTTCATTGTCGGCTGGCAGCTCTTGCAATGCCCTGAATTCAGAAAGCAAGTCCCAAGCAATAATCATTAGCATTGTGCAATGCTGGACCCGGTTATCATCCAGCAGGTGCAGAAAAAGGAGGAAAATTTCTGGGGTGTAATGACCCGCCATAACACAGACTGAGAACACTGCTGATTTCTGAAGTTCTGCCCATGGAATGGATGCCGCATTCTGCTTTGTTTTCTAAGTCTGTATGTGTGCGTGCCTGTTGACTTGCATGCCTGTCTGAGTGCTTGTCGGCATGAGTGTGTGTGTGAACCGCAAGGGTACTTGCTTGTTTAGCAGGCCCATAGGGCCGGTACTTACCTGTGGCCATGGCATTGAGGGTTGCAGCAGGGGAAAACACTCAAGTGGTGGAGCCAGAGGCCCGCGGCCCTTGGAGTAGAGGAAAAACACTCAAGTAGCAGGTAGGCCGGTACCACACCCAGTAGCAGTAGATGTGCCGGGTACTCAAGGCCGAGCAGAAGAAGACAAAGTTGGCATTTTTAGAGGCCCAGTAGCGGTAGGCTAGGTCTAGGTCGGTACCAGTCCATCCAGTCTGAGTCTAGAGCCTGTACGGGCAATATCAGAGTCTGCAATGATGTTTCCCTCCGAAAGGGAGGAGGTACCGGTTGCTTGGGAGGCCGAGCGGCCTGGAAGTCACCGCCCAGGAGGCAAGCAGGCCGCTATATCAAGAGGCCGAGGGAAGAGCTCGGCCTCATTCTTCAGTGTGCAAGTTTGGCGACACGCTGCTGGAGCACTGGCTGGAGTAGCGCTGGGTACTACAGCGCTGCTGGGAGGAAGAAGCCAGGAGCTTCCACCTTGGCTATGGTGGAGCTCTACCGGTAGGAGGAGAAGGGAGAAGGGGACCAAGGAGGAGAGTGGCGAGGTACTTACCTGGCTATGGTGGACACCATCTTCATCACCTTGTTAGGCGCTGCATCTGGAAGGCCCCAGCTGGGGTAGTGTCGCATCAAGGAAGCTCGGGACAGAGTCAGGCATGGCAATTGAGTGGGCAGCGGCATAGCTGCATGGTGCTGACCTTGGGACAGAAGGGCGGCGACATAGCTGCTTTGGGTTGTCCTTTGGACAGGAGGGTAGAACCCTCAGTGCTCCGCCATAGCCTCGGCCTGTATGTAGAGGAAGAGGAAGGGTGGCCATGGCTATGGTGGACCTCATGTTGTGCCTGCAGTAGAAGTGGGCTTCGGACATTGATTCTGGTTCAGCCATTCAACATTATTATTGTTATTTCTTGTTTGAATAAGAGGGGAGAAGATAAGGAGGAGGAGATTGGTTGGCGAAGAAGAAGAGCCTTGTCATTGGTCTATTGTTGCATACCGTAACGGTGCAGACCAGAACAAGAACCGACCTCTCTCACAAAGTACAAGATAGCGTAGCGGAAGACTTAGATACCAATGATCCGAACAATCAATGTTGCAATGCAGTCCCAGACATACATCATCATCATCATTCCATGGTGTGAAGGGGCCTGGCGCTCACACAGGAAGAATGCGCCAGTCCCCAACCATACACAGACGAAGAAGAGGGGGGTTAGACGAAGAAGAGGGGGGTTAGACGAAGAAGAGGGGGGTTAGACGAAGAAGAGGGGAAGATGGGAATGTCGTCAACACCAAGTCTTCGGCACAGGCCCCAAATGATCCCTCGTCTAATGTCTGAATCCCAATGTCGAGTCTAGATCCAATGTCATCAAGTCCCAAAGTCGCAACTCTCTCTCTCTCTCTCAGAGTCCGCTGATACTGAGAAGTCAGGTAGCGAGAGGTGAAGAAGAGATGGTGGACTTAGAAGAGGAAGAACTCTCTCTCTCTCTCTCTCTCTCTCTCTCTCTCTCTCTCTCTCTCTCTCTCTCTCTCAGTATGGTACTAACCTGTGAAGTTGGCACCTTGATGCAGGTGCCTCGAAGATAAAGGAGCTATGGCGCCACAGGTGAGTCCCCCTGGCCTCCGCCAGTCATCTCTCTCTCTCCAACGCTACTCTACTACTACCAGCGCCCAGCGCTGAAGACTACTACTACAGCTACTAGCGCCCAGCGCTGAAGACTACTGCTAGCACTAGCGCGACTCCTGCAGCGCTCCTCCAGAGTGCTGCTGCCGAATCCTGAAGACTACTCCTGCCTTCTGCCTCCCCGTGAAGTGCATGGGAACTCCCTATGTACTACCTCGGCCTGCCTCCTGACTGCCTCCGACTGCCTGCAGTTGCAGGGCGGGGCAGTCCAGGAGGCTGCTCTTGCCAATGCCAAAATGAGCCAGGGCCTGGCGCTGCAGCTCCTGCTGAGGCTGTCGTGGGAACAGGCCGAAAATAGCCTGTTCCTAAAACCCTGGTTCGGTGCCTAAATGTCAGGGCAGGTCGATCTTATGAGGGCCCGAAAGTGGCCCTCCGTTTCAGGCTCAAAAGATTCAGGGCCTGGACGGCCCTGTTTTAGGCTGAAACGACATAGGGCCTGCAGGCCCTCGTTTTCAGGCTTCCAGGCTGAAACGACACAGGGCCTGTAAGCCCTTGTTTTCAGGCTTTTAGGTTGCGAACGCTGGTCGGGCCCTGCAGGCTCGTGTGGCTGCGCAGTATGCCACATCTATGCTGGAGTACATCATCTTCTTCTTCTTTCGTACTTCTTCTTCTTCTTCTTTTCCTCTCTCTCCTCTCAAGTTCATTCATTTCTTTTTGCAATTGGACGCCATTGTACTTTCTGATGAATGAAGACTTCGAAATTGGCCAGGATCGTAACATTGGTATCAGAGCGGATTCTACTTGCTGGCGAGAGTTGACTTTGCCGCCATAACCCTAACCTAAGTGGTAAGGGTTAACCACTTAGGGTTAGGGCTGGAAGTTAGGGTTAAGTGGGGCAGCGTGGTGAAGGGAAGCTGCTCCCACCTGGCAGGGCCGTGTAGGGTCGACATCAGACCCGGCCAGGTAGCTTGAGTGCATGTTTGTGGTGGCGAGACACAAGGTGGGACTTCGTGATGCAATTTGAGAGAGGCAACAGTGAAGGGCACCTACAACTGGAATCTGGACTTCAAGGAAGACGAGGAGTGACTTTAGGGCTCCCCTCAAGTTAGGCGAGCTTGAGGGTGGCAGCCATATCTGCACCTACGGACTGCAAGTTGCTGCTTTGATCTTCAACATCGACGGGTGATCCGGCTTTGTACTCTGGGGTAGATGTTGAGCCTCCTAGATGATAGGACACTAGTGTAGAAAATGCTAATTGGGTCAGGAGGACTATGTGAGAGGGGGGTGAGTTCTTTCATCTCAAGAGCCCGGCCACTCATGTAACGAGCGTGAGGCTGAGGGTGAGCCGAGGGAGAGGAGAGAGAGGGAGAGAGCGAGAGCGAGAGCACACACACACACTCACTCACTCGACACGTCGGACTCGGACTGAGGATCGGACGCAGACACAGTGGCAAGGCACCAAGTCGAAGTCTTGGATTCCAAATGTCGAAACAGCAAGTCACATTGAGTACGAGTACAGCAGCAGAGAACTGGTACGAGACTGGTCCCCGTACCATGCGGGGAGCCGGTATAAGTACCGGTGACACGTACGGTACCAGTGGCATTTCTGCAAAGGCTCCGAGGGCAGAACTGAAAAATGCAGTATTTGAAAG